ATTTTTTAACGGAGTTAATTTTCAGTTGACTCCTAATATAACAGGGGAGCTCTAGGAGCCTAATTGAACCACGTATTTGCTCTAATTACTTTCGCTGCAGACTGCTAGGAAACAAAAGCAGCAAACAGACCTGTTCTGTGTGCAGCAGTCAGGCATTCGAAGGTTGCTTTCTCCAGCAGAGGTTTTGAGTAGCATAGAAGTAAAGAATCTGAGAAGCAAATCCTTCATCTGCAAACGGTAGCTGTAGCCACACATCAAAGAGCAGCCCTTCTTCCTGCATAGTGTAGAAAGCATTGTTCATCATGCATTTTATTTTTGTCCAAACCCAGAGAAAGTAATCATCATCCGCAAGCATCATTTTTGAATATCCGGGGTAACACCACATTTTTGCCAACATAATTAGATGTTTTCTCACAAGACTTTAGATTTAATACTTAAAAAACAATTTAACCATTGTGCAGCAATAATAGTGCTTTTATGCTGGTTTCTTTTTCTTCTTAGGCTTTATTCTCTCGAATAATTGTCCATATTTAACACAACAGTTTAATTTTTAAGCTAAATAAAACCATACTTCCATTACTGACTTTTATTTTGGTACAAGTTGAGGTTTGAATGTTGATGATCATGTATGTAAGGAAAGACGCAGATAAGTTTTTGTTACTATTAACTAGTCAATTCAGTCAAACAACTGCTTTCTTAAAACAGGATTCACAGGAAATGCCTTCTAAAGGCAAACTCCATTAAGGGCATATTTCCTTATTAAATGGATTCTTTTTTAAAGATACTGTGACTGTGTTTAAACATCTACCTTAGTTTCTAGGTAAATACCAGCTGAAATGCTTAGGTTTTTCTCTCCTCAGCTAAACTGCAAACAACTACAAAATATTGTAGGTTTTATTACCTCTCATCCGTTGTTTTAAAAATCTGCATTTCAGACTCTGGGTTCGGAGTCCAAACTTTACAGAAGTTCTCCCTGGATATGCAAAACAACTTTAGCTTTCTGAGGTAACTTGTCCTAAAAATAAAAATAAAAATAAGAGATAGGAATCTATAAGAAGAGTGTTAAAGCAACCATCTGGTGAGTTCAGGCCAAATACAAAGTCTCCACTTTTTGCTTGACCCATCTAGATGTCTGTACCACCTCTCGGCTTTATTTTGCCTATGGAAACCCGACCTAAACTAAACAACTATTCTATATCATTAAGTTGTCCGGGATGATGAAAGTTTAAATATATGTCAGACAAGCTGCAGCATCTGGTGCAATTCAGTAATGACGGTCTCCTCCAGAGAGCTTCAGTCTTGGAACAACTTTTATAACTGAGGAGGTTTGGTTGACCTATGTGAAGAAAATAATGTTCTTCTGGCTTGACATTCTCCCTGTTCACTAGTACTAATATTTGCCAGATCCTCTTCCATTGTAGGAAACACGAAGTAAAATCCCTCTATGAAACATCTCACTATATTTCTAATTCCATTTTGATGCAGCCAAATAATATGCCTTGGGTACAAAGTGATCAGCACTGTTAATCTTTCACTGTTATTTTTTCAAAATTATTTTAACACATTGATTCACCCTAGTTTTTTCCCCCAGAGTGGAGAATAATGTCTTACAAAGTATTGTTTATGAGTGCTACAAAAAATTTAACTAGTTTGAATGCTTTTTTTATAGTTCGTTAATATAAGAAAATCAATTAAGTTCTCTTCAGAACGGCATATAAGGTTAGATATATAGGATCTTGTAGAAGAAGGTTAGAAGTGATCATGGTGACATTTGTGTACCTCCACAGCTCCCTTTTATGGTGCTACAAACCTCATTGTGACAAATTTACACATCTTTCAAAATAGAGGAAAATCAAGTTTAAATTGATGCTTTTCATCAATAGACTAAAAAAAACTTGCAGTAAATACGATAAAGTTTTAATATCTTTATTACATAAACAAGTCACAATAATAAGGAAAAAACACTAAGAACTTAATAGATAAGCAAAGGACATAAAAAGACACTTTACAGAAGATAATACATTGTTGGCAAATATATATAAAATGTTTTATCTCACTAGTAAACAAAATGCAAATTGAAACAATATGGACTACCGTTTCACCCACCTTATAATTGATTTTTTAAAAAATAAGAATGTCCAATGCTGGCAATTGGTGTGGTGACAGGTAAACTGATACTAATATTTTTGAAAAATTATGTATTAAATGTTTCTTCCTTTTAGCCCAGTAATTCCATTTGTTAGTTTTCACCCCAAGGGAAATAATTCTAAACATCAAAAAAGAAAACCTATAGGTACAAGGTATTCATTGTGGCATTATTTATAAGATTGAAAAAAAATTGAAAACAACTTAAATACCCGAAAGCAGAGGGATGATTAAGTACATTAATACACATTAGCTGCACGGAACATTATGCTGCATTTTAAGTGATGTTTAGATTGATTCATAATAATATGATAAAATGTTACCATGTAATATTAAATGAAAAGAACAGGCTACAAAATGTTATCTTTATTTCATTACAAAATTACATTTTAAGCCTACCGCTGTAGGAAAACTCTATATGCATAAAAAAGGGGACATGATAATTTTTAACTATCTTATTTTCAGTGTCTTCCAAATTTTATTTAATGTGCATGTAAATGCTTCACAATACACTTTAAAAGGTCACGTTTTTACTCAAAGCACTTTCAAATGCATCACCTTATTCGTTTTCACATTTCTATCTAAAGCAAAACCTTGTTTTGGGAAGACTTATAAAATATCTTAACACTACCTATCATAAAAATCCCAAATGACTGTCTTCATTATCATTTTGGTTATAAATGTAGGGAATGTCCTATACATGTGACTAGGCAGCTGAAACATGCAGGTAGCAGCCCCAGTGAGCACTCTCAGCATCCACACTCATTCCGTCTCCAGTCTCTTTCAGAAACTATGGCTGCTCCTTGCACCTGTGAATATACTATGCTTATAAACCCATGACAGCGGAGGGAATGTTAATGACTGTTTCTGGTTTACATACAATATTTTGGGGACAACCAAAATCAATTGCTTTTTTCCCCAAATGAGAGCATAAAAAAAGGAGCCTTTCATCCAAATTTATTTGCTCTGTTTCTAACAGAAAGTAAATTCTTAAGGAAGCAAGGATGGGGTCTATTTTTATGATGTATACATTGCCTAGGTTAATGTTAGATTTTATAAATCATACCCTTTGCAGCATCTGCCCTAGGGCAAGGGTGAACCGACATGTCGTTCTCTTAGAGAGAAATACCACATGCCTCCCTTTTTTTCCAAATTCCCCTTGGCAAATGTGGTCACTCCTTTGATACTTAACGGAATCTCGACTCATGTCCACACACAGGAGGATAAAATCCTAGTAGAAGACACACTAAATATGAGAGACAGTCAGACAGACAGACACACTGAGACTTCAGGAGGCTGCACTTACACTCCAGCAGTTTTTCCAGAAACAAGGGAGGCAGTCAGTAGTTCTTATTTTTGTGGGGGCAAGTTGTAGACTGAAATTCAGCAAAGATCTTTTCTTGACACGAGGAATGTGAAATATATTCTAGGATATGTATCCGGTACGGTCCTTTGTTTTAGATGCGAGCTTTTTTCTTTTTTCTAAAGTTTTTCAGTGTCGCTCAAGGGAAGGGAAACTTAACATTTTGAGTCTTTTAACATTTTGAGTCTTTTAAAGGTGTCTTTCAAAGCATCTCCCATAGGGAAATATCAGGACAGCTCAACAGTACTGTATTTCAGTAAGAATCGATTCCGATGTTTTTCAACATGGCTGTATACTTTGCAGGACCCCAAATTTGTGCTTTCATAGGCATCATTAATCAAATGGCCAGAAACACCATCTTTTGCGAACCTGCGTTTCGAAGGCTAGAGATGTGCTTTGATGAAAGATTATGTTCAGTTTGTAGGCATCACTTATATTCGTGTGCCTTTCAGCCGCGGGCTTTTGTCAGGGGCGGAGCGGGCTTGGAAGAGCCTGCAGCGCGGTGGGCGGCAGGTCTGAGGGCCAGAGTCGTTAACACGCTTTCAGGGGGGTTACCGACACTTTCTCCCAAGACACTCGGCTAGGCGTGCGCAGCGTGAGGGAGTAGACTAGACTGTGACAAGAAAAGAGAATTTATGTGAGGGACAGGGGAAAAAATAGAGAGAGCTCCCGGCTCCGTTCTCGTGTCACCGTAGCTCTGGGATTTGCACGAGTTTAGCACTACCATTAACAGCTACTTATGGAAGGTTGTTTACCGCCTGAGCACAGGACAACCACAAAGCGGAGCCCACTCCAGGCCCCAAGCCACGCCCCCTCGCCCCTCAGCCCCCTCCCGCCCCCCAAACTAATGAATTCAGGGCCGCCTTCCTGCCAGACCCTCCCATTGGCTCCCATCCCAACCAATCGGAGCCTTGCATCAGTTTCACCTGGCTCCCGCTTCCCAAATAAACAAACCGTCCAGCAGTAGGGCCAGCTCGGCTCCCTGGGGCCCGGGGCGGTGTTGGCGCTCCTCCCGCTCAGGCCCTCCCTCCACCCAATCGCGCCCGGGCTGTGGCGCCCCCGCCCGGCCCGAATCGCGAGCCGCGCTCTCCTCCGCCCCTTCGGGCCCTCTCCCGCCCCCTCGTGCCTTCGTGGACTCCTCATTAAAGGCAGCGTGGCCAGGGCGCCCCGCCTCCTCCCGTTCGCCCTCCTGCCCCCCACAGGCCCGCAGATTCTCGGTGAGGGTCCCGGCCGGGCTGGAGGGGGCCGCGCCGCCCCGCCGCCCCCTTCCTTGCACACCTCCACAGGCGGCGGCTCGCGCCCCTCCACTGCGCTGCTAGCAGGAGCCGCAGCGCCCTCCGCGTGAGGCAGCGGTCACGTGTTGTTTTGCCCGCCGCCGCCCGCTAG